GGCTTTGAGGTACAGCCATTCAATAATTTTCTTACTTTGCTTCCTCTTTTGCTCTATAGAAGTCTCTCCCCAAGCTCCTGTTGGTGAAAGGCTCCTAACCACTTAAGGTTTGGTACTGCCTAATTCCAATTGGTGTTTGTTCAAAGTCTTAAAATATGCTTCAGTTTCTTTTTTTTTTTTAAAGATTTTATTTATTTATTTGACAGAGAGAATGAGAGAGAGAGCACATGAGAGGGGGGAGGGTCAGAGGGAGAAGCAGACTCCCTGCCGAGCAGGGAGCGGGATGCGGGACTCGATCCAGGGACTCCAGGATCATGACCTGAGCCGAAGGCAGTCGCTTAACCAACTGAGCCACCCAGGCGCCCCTCAGTTTCTCTTTTAACAGCCTTAATAAAACCTCTTCAGCTATCTATGTCCTTTTTATCACTCTATCACTTACGTTAGATCTCAGTGTCGATCTTCTGTTGGAGCTTTTGGCTCTTGTTCACCTTTGTGCCAAATACATCCACAATTAATACAAAGAAATAAAATCAATAAATGCCTTGAAGTTGCTTAAGAGTCTCAAAGCAAAGATTTACCTGCTATTTTATTTTTTAAAAATTAAATCCTCTGAGAAAGTATGTCAGTTGAATTCAAGAGTCTTAGACTAAAAAGAAAATCTCCAAATTAACTACTCTTATGTAAATAGAGAACCTTGTACACTTTTCAATAAAACAAAAATCAGTAGCAAATGAAGATTGATCAATCAATCTTTATCTCCAAGGACAACCTGGAATTTGAGCTTTACAGAAAGCCCTTTAAAACTCAGCCCATGTTACCTGAAACAACAAACCATGTATTCCTAACTTGGTTTAGGGAAAATCCAACTGACTTATAAAATTTTTATCTCTTTCATGAGTTCATTTATAATCAGATTTCAAGAACCTCGAAAGATGCTTCCAAGGCAGAAACATTTTCTCTAAGACAATTCGTGTCTTCTAAATATCATTAAAGTATGATTGTCACAGAGCCCTTGGGGAGCTGACACCCAGAGGGAAAAGAACACATCACTAATAGCTAGTCAAGTACCAACTGGCTCTAAGTTGCCAACTCCCTTTCCTGGAAAAACCAAGTATATCTGAGCAAAGAGAACATTGATGATTATCAGGAGACATCCTCTGGCATCAATATGCTGCTCGGCAAGGGATGAATCAGGATTCCAAATGCCACCTGAGTCACGGAGCAGTTCAAGCACAGAGTCCAGATACACCTTGGAAGAAGCTGAACTTCAGGCCAACATCCCATAGAAAATCCTCAATAAAAAGTTCTTCTTACCTCTCAGTCTCAAAAAGGTGATTAACCTGAGGAATAGTAACCACATATAATAAGTTTGCATAGAATAGCCAGCCAAGGACTATAGCAATGCATTCTTAGAAAACTGTAAATTGAGAAACTATTATTTCCAAAATCTATGCCTATTGTCATAGATTTCAAGTGCTCTGGCAAATGTGTTCTTAATTTTATATTGTCCCAAGAAGCATCCTTGCTGCATTTAATTGCTCATTTGACTCATTTAAGTCAACAACAATTCTTGGAAGTTTGCAACACACAAGGCAAAAGTTAAGCAGAGTTAAGAGAACTGACAGTCCAAATCCTCAAATATAAAGACCAGAAAAAGCACACCCAACGATAGGAATATATCCCCCAGGAAGGAGAAGGACACGGGCAGAGCGAAAACATCAGGAAAGAGCAAGGAGCCTTTCATGTGAAATGGCAGCAGAAGCTAGCCTAAACTCCAGGGGAAACCAGTTAATGTAACAAGGGACAGATGTAGGGTGGTAAATAACTCCAAAAGCAAAACTCTTAAAATACGTGGAGAAAACAATTTCAGTAATTCTTTTTTTTTTTTTTTAAGATTTTATTTATTTATTTGACAGAGAAAGACACAGCGAGAGAGGGAACACAAACGGGGAGTGGGAGAGGGAGAAGCAGACTCCCCGCCGAGCAGGGAGCCCGATGCGGGACTTGATCCCGGGACTCCAGGATCATGACCTGAGCAGAAGGCAGTCGCCTAACCAACTGAGCCACCCAGGCGCCCAATTTCAGTAATTCTTTACTGACCTTCAACCTCAACATTATTTCTAAAGTAGTGATAAATTGATTAACAAAGCAATCTTAACTATTTAGCTTCTAAAACACAAAAAGGCAAGAACTCAAAGTCTTAGAAAGAGGCCTTCCGTACTTTATGCAAAATGGAGGAATTCTGTTGTCCTAACGTGGACTTTATTTTTTTTAATTCCCCTAGAAAATGTCCACCTCATCTCAAGATTCTATCTCAGGCGCCTGGGTGGCTCAGTTGGTTAAGCGACTGCCTTCGGCTCAGGTCATGATCCTGGAGTCCCAGGATCGAGTCCCGCATCAGGCTCCCTGCTCAGCAGGGAGTCTGCTTCTCCCTCTGACCCTCCTCCCTCTCATGCTCCCTGTCTCTCATTCTCTCTCTCGCAAATAAATTAAAAAAAAAAAAAAAGATTCTATCTCAAAATGATCAATTCTAAGTTTGAAAGAACAAAAGCAAGTATATTTTGCAAAACTTTTATCACGTGAAAACCTGAAATTTTTTTTTTAAAGATTTTATTTATTTATTTGAGAGAGAGCATGAGAGAGCGCATGGGTGGGGGGAAGAGGCAGAGGGAGAAGCAGTCTCCCCACTGAGCAGGGAGCCCGATGCAGTGCTCAATCCCAGGCCCCTGGGATCATGACCTGAGCCAAAGGCAGACACTTAACTGACTGAGCCATCCAGGCACCCCTTGAAATTTCTTTTTAACACTGCATGACAAAGCCTTAAAACACTGCATAATGCTATGCTTTGCCTCTTTGTGCTTCCTACTTTTAGTTATTATCAACTTCATACTGCAGAGAATAAAAATTGATATCCTGGATAATTATGTCCTTGTCTGCAAGTATAGTTCTTCCCATGTACAGTAAATGAATAATTTTTTAATTAAATAAATGTCAAATAGCTCAGTTCAAGCGTGGGAATGGCCTTACTAAGCCTCTATTATGGACACAAATGTTGAAGTCAACATGGTAAAGAAAAAAATAGTATCTTCACACCTTGACTTGTTTATTAAAACCAGGGACAGGAAAAAATAAATTATTTTGACAGCTACATTTTTAAGGATTTCTGCAAGTATAATATTTGCTTTCTTAATAATTTGCATCATAAATATGCATCTCCTTGTTAAGTTTACCTTAGGAGAATAGGAAGAAGCCTCATTTACACAACGGTATCATAAACTGATTCAAAGTACATTTCACAGGATACTTTATAGTCAGCATCAACTTCTTCTGTAAGAGTTTTCATAGTAAGCATTCTTTTAAAGTACACATGAAACATTCTACAGGATAGACTATAGACTGGGGCACAAAAAAAGTCACGATAAATTTGAAAAGTCTAAAGTCATACAAACTGTGCTATCACCATAGACTCCGAGAAAGTGGAGTATGGTCCATTTTACTGATGAAGCCTGGTGCTTCCTTCTTTCCTGCTCATACATAATTAATTCCCAAGTAGAAGGTATGACTATGTGGCCCAGATGACACAAAAGGGCCAAACAGGAATATCCCAATCCCCACCTCACCCATCATCCATTTTTCAGACCAGTGGGCTGGTCTCTTATTGTCAGCTAATATGCAGTGAAGAAGGGAATCTTGCCACTGGACCAAAACAACTCTTTTCTTAGTCATACCAGATGAAAGGATCTCATTAGCTTCCTTGTGATAAAGAACTAGAAGTTGAGAGCAGAACCTTACTGTATATCTGTTAAATTGTTTTTTTTTTTAAATATACATTTATACCCGTTACTATAGGTAAACTATATATAATTTGCATTCCAAGGTGTGAGTTTGGCCATTTTCAAAAATTTCTATTGTCATCATACCTAAGCTAAAGCCAAGTACTTCCCCAAATCCTTTGTTAACAAAATCCATAAGAAGAGTTCAAGATTTAAACATTTATTTTTTTAGTTCTTTGTATCCAGAATACATAAAGAACTCATGTAACACAATAAAAACACAAGCCAATTTTAAAAACGAGTAAAAGCCATAAATAGTCATTTCACCAAGAAAGGCACACAAATAAATAATAGGCACATGAAAGGATGTACATCATTAGTGATTCAGAAAAACTAGAACACTTATATACTGCTGGTAAGGATATAAAATGGTACAGCCACTTTGTAAAACAGTTTGGCAGTTTCTTTAAAAATTAAATTTATCATACAAACCAGCATGTCTACTCCCAGGAATCTACCCAAGAGAAATGAAAGCATATGTCCACACAACACTTGTATGTGAATGTTCATAGCAGCATTCTTTGTAATAGTCAAAAAGTAAAAATAACCTAAATGTCCATCAACTGGTAACTCTATAAACACAATACGATACATCCATACAATAGAATGTTGCTCAGCAATAAAAACAAACTACTGATACAGGCTACAACATGGATGAAGCTCAAAAAATTATGCTAAGTAAAAGAAGCGAGATGCAAAAGACTACTATACGAGTCCATGTATATGAAATTTCAGAAAGGCAACTCTATTCTAGGGATAGAAAGCAGATCAGTGTTTGCCTGGGCCTGGTAGGGATGGGGGTGGGGGCATAGGGCTGGGAATTGTCTACGAATGGGCTCAAGGAAAATTTTGAGGGCAGTGGGAAAATCCTAAATCAAGATTGTGATAATGGTTATATAACTCCATAAATATACTAAAAATTAAAAAAGAAAAACCGGTGGGTTGATTTAATCCAAAATCTTTATTCTACAAATAAGAAAACTGCCTTTTAAGCCCATAAAAATGTCTGAATATCCTTCTAGTACCTGTGCTTTGTATCTCGTATTTGAACTCTGATATTGCTTTCTAAGTGTCTTCATGTTGAGGGTCCTATTCCCATGAGATAAAGTAAATATAGGGCAGGAATTTGTGTTAAATTCTTGATGAGTTAATTTGGACTGAACTTACTTGGTTTAAATTTGTAGGAATAAGCATGGTGAGACTGAGCCATTCTCCTGAATCAGATCGAACATAGTGGCTTTTCTACTCCTTAATTACTCAGCTTGCACTGTTCAAAATTCCCCAAACATACACAGGAATACTCATATCCAGGGACAAATAAAAAGTAGCCTCTAGGATAAAAACAAGAAACAAAAACAAACCACAAACTGTCGTGTCATTGTGGATTAATAGTCATTCCTCCTTTTCATCATTAGCAGTATGAAGAGTTCTACATGTAAAATGAGGGGACATGCCAGATGAGCTCTACGAGCCCTTCCAGTTCTAACATAAATCATGACCCCCTGTTATTCCTATTATTTATCATTTCTACCCATTATCACCTATTTCTGTAGTAGGAGAGCATAAATCTATTTTTGTCACACTATTCTTTTACCAAGAATAAATCCTTAGGAAAGTTAGGTTTTTTTTTTTCAAATCCAGAATAGAAGAAACAAAATCTCAGCTTTTTAAAAACTGAATCCAGGAACATTTCAAAATAGCTTTCTCAAAATCCAACATCGACATAAAGGTTTGAGATTCCTAACGTAAAGCATTAACCGGTAGGACTTTTTTTTTTTTAAATGAGAAAGAAATGTATTGAAATACAACTCTTTTTTTTTTCCCCCCAGTTTAGAAATGAACTCAAAGAGGGGCACGTGGGTGGCTCAGTCGGTTAAGCACCTGCCTTCAGCTCAGGGCATGATCCCGGGATCCTGGGATGGAGCCCCCAGTCCTCCGGTTCCCTGCTCAGTGAGGAGCCTGCTTCTCCGTCTGCCTCTGCCCCTCCCCTACCACCGCCCCCCCACCCCCGCTCTCTCTCTCTAATAAATAAAATCTTTTTTTAAAAAATGAATTCAAAGATAAACTAAAATATAATTCATAGTCAGAAATATAATTTATCATCAGAAACATATATTCAGTCCAACATGGCCATGGGCAGGCAGGATGCTTAAACTCTGCCCAGAAAGGCTGTAAGAAAAGTGATTTATTATTTTAAGGATTAAATTTAGGAATTGTTAGGCTCATATCCTTTTATTTGATATTTCCTAGCACTAAGGAGTGAGTAGGACAATGGAAAAATGGAAAAGTGGCTGTCTCTGGGGAATGGAATGGGGCCTATTATTGAAAACTGGATGTGGATTTTGATTTTTCACTTTGCTTTTTTGAACTGTCAGACATTTTTGTCATGAACATATACTTCTTTTATATTTCAAAACCTAATAAAAATTATTCAAGAACAACACACAGCTTTTTCATTTTCTCATATGTATGTCCCTTGAAAGAAAGGAGGGCCATAGCAATAATGAACTTTAAAAAGCCTAATTTCGGGGCACCTGGGTGGCTCAGTCGTTAAGCATCTGCCTTTGGCTCAGGTCATGATCCCAGGGTCCTGGGATCGAGCCCCGCATTGGGCTCCCTGCTCCGCGGGAAGCCTGCTTCTCTCTCTCTCTCACTCCCCCTGCTTGTGTTCCCCCTCTCGCTGTGTCTCTCTCTTTCAAATAAATAAATAAAATCTTTAAAAAAAAAAAAAAGCCTAATTTCAAATTCCATAGCACTCCAGGTATATATTTGTCTTAAGCTTTCACCAGAGCATAATGGTTGGGTTTCTCTGTCTCCTCCCTAAATAGTGAGCAACTCTCTCTCTCAAATAAATAAAATCTTTGGGGGGGGGGGGGGGGCACCTGGGTGGCTCAGTTGTTTAAGCGTCTGCCTAAATAGTGAGCAACTTTATAATTGGTTCTCAGTCTCATTGATTACTTTCTCTCTGATGCCTAACACATTGCTATTCGTTGTTCAATAAATGTTCATTAAGCAAAACTAAACCACTGAAGTTTTGCCCTCTGACTCCCATCTTTGTGATCTTTAATGAGTCAGCTTCCTACCTTCAAAATAGGAATGATAGAACTACCTCACAGGGATGTTAATTAAATGACACAATATATAGAAGCACTTAGCACAGTGCCTGGTATGTGGTAGTCTCCACTCCCCTCACCTCTTCTTTTAAGATAAGTTTCTTCTCAGTGGGAAAGAGTAGTAACTTTCCCAAGATAAAAAAAAAATCAGCAGCCCTTTTTCTGACTTTTAAATGCCACTTTAAAGGCCGCAAAGATGGGCCAGCTAAAATATTAGCCTTGGTATGTGTTTCAGGAATCCTAAGACCACCCATAAGTTCAGTGATTTGCTAGAAGGACTCACAGGATTCAGAAGCAGTTGCTCTCAGGGGTATAGTTGATTTCCCTTGATATCACCAAGGGGGAAGGACCCGGCAGGAGGAATCTAGAAGAATCCATGCCCATATTTCCTGCTCTCTCCCTAGCAGCAGAAAGGAATGTGTTCCTCTAGCAAGGACATGCAGCAACACGTGCGTGGTGTTCTGCTCCGCGAAGTCTTCCCGAATGCTCAGAGTTTAGGGTTTTCTTGGGGGGTTGTCACATCGGCGTAATGACCTGCCACATCTGCCAAACTGCCAGATCCCCAGAAGTAAGCAGGTGCTTAGTGCCCCAGATGGGCAAAACAACCTATCACTCAGAGAAGGTTTCAAAGGCAGAGTTCCCAGGCGCCAGCCAAGGACCCACCTTGTAAAAAGGCCTCTTAAAGATAGCAGCCTCAGGCTTCCTGCACCCATGGCAAGTGAGAAACTGGGAAAGGAGGACACAAGTTGCAGGAAAGAAGAGTAGTAAGAACTGGGGAAAGCAAAGAAAGGACAAAAGAGTGGAAAATAAAGAGAGAAAAGGAAGTCAAGGGAAGACGAAGAAGCCAGGAAAAGGAAGAGGGAGGGCAGGAAGAAGAGGAAATCATTGCTGGGCTGATCCAACCTGGCTTCTTCCTCGGGCCCCCTGACCCTCTAGCTCCAGGCTCAAGGCTGCTCCTCCCACGGCCCCACCTCACACTCCACTTCCTAGGATGCCACAGTGCTGCCCTGTACATGCCTACTTTCATCTCCTCTGTTTATATATGTGTATCTGTGCCCTTTGTCCTGCCGGTTTGGTGTAATCTGGCTGCTTTGATAAGGAGACAGAAGGATAAGGGAGGGAAAACCGACAGTGATGAGATTAAATAGGAAAAGGCATTTGAGCTAAATGGAACAAGAGGACAATAACAGGCTCCCAGAGCTCCTCTGAACTTTGAAAGAAATACAGAGTCCTCCTGGCTTTAGAAGACAAGAAACAGTGGAAAACTATCATGGCAGAATGGACTCTTTTCAATGTACAGTTGACCCTTGAACAACGTGGGCATCAGGGGTGCCGACCTCCCCATGCAGTTGAAACTCTGTGGATAACTTCTGACTCTCCCCAAAACTTCACTACTAATAGCCTGCTGTTGACCCGAAGCCTTACCAATAATATATTGATGAACACGTAGTTTTGTACAGTATATACATTATAAACTGTATTCTTACAGTAAAGTGAGCTAAAAAAATGTTAAGAAAATCCTAAGGAAAATACACTTACAGTACTGTACTTTGAAATATCCACATACAAGTGGACCCATGCAGCTCAAACTAGTGTTGTTCAAGGGTCAACTGTACTTTTAAATTACAGTGGCCTCCTTGACTTCTGAGAGGTCATTGGTTACTTCTCCCACTTAAATATCTAGAGCAAGTTGTTTTGTTTTTTTTTTTTTTTCAAAGTTAAAAGATACTAGGGTTTTATTTTTCTAACCCTCCTTTTTTTTGGACTTTCTGAGTTCATAAAAAAGAGAAGAAGATAAGCGAGCTATTTCTTGCCCTAGTGCTTTTGTAATTGAAAAATATAACAGATCCTTTTCTCCTTTTCTCACATTTTGTATTTTAAAAATTGCTGTCAGACTAAGGCTTTGCCAAGTTTCAACCCCAAGTGAAATCTTATCAAGAAAACTGAAAGATATATAAAAAGCAGATGGATTATAGGTATAATCATATAGCCTACACATGTTATGGTTTTTTAAACAAGTTCATCTCTCTTGTGTTAAGGTGTATAATGTTAATTATATTTATGTACTGAAATATATGTCCTTTTATGATTCCATTTTCATATTATCAGGAAGGTTTTAGTTTTGTAAAAAATATATATGTATTCATCTGGATAAAGGCAGATATCCTAGGTAAGAGAAGAAATTAGAAAAAACATGATACCTTTCCATCTTCAGTTACCTAGAAGTCTACTACATGGACAAAGGAGAAGATATTTTGACAACTCCTGAGGATGGAGGTTGAACAAATAGAAGACAACTTTCATTAGGCACATTAAACTCACTTAAGGAAAAACTTGATATCTGATATCAGTTAGTCCCTTCTAGAAACAGAATGGCTACTTCATTTGTAATTGTCAAGTGAGGGGCATTGTCACTGAGAGAGCTCAAGACTGGAATGCTGGTATTAGTGAGATTCTGAGAAATCAGTGGAGAGCCAATGGAAGGACTGGACAGAAGAGTGAACACAGAGATTCCCACAGAGGCCAAAGACAAAGATGGGCTACCAAGAATGAATTGGGAGACTGGGAACCTTATTGACATGGGGCAGATTCCAAAAGCCTTGTGAGATGAGTCAGGTGGCCAACCATAACTAAAGAGGTATGAAGTTGAAGTTTAGCACAAGCATAGAAGGGAATTCCAACTGGATAGAGAGAAAGGGGAATTGAGCCCCAAGAGAAAACTTAAGGGTCAGCAAAGAGAGATCAGGTTAGGCTAGCCTATGTGGAGGTAACAAATCAACCCTGGAATCTCAGTGGTTTAACACAACAAAGTTTATTTCTTGCTCAAAATACATGTTCCAAAGCAGGTAGGTAGGGAACTCGGTTTCACACAGTTATTCTGAGGTCTGAGCTCACAGAGGTCTGATGCTTTATAGCTGCTTTATCTGTATCACAGAGGCTCCAAGTTCTCTGAATATAAGAAACAGGAAAAGGCAGGAGCACGCAGACTCTTAAGTGACTCAGAACTACAGTGAGGCTCCTCTTCTCATATTCCCATTGGTCAGAGCTCAGTCACATGCCCCAACCCAACTATGAGGGAGGCTAGGAAATGTAGGGGAGGAAACGGCTATTCAGTGAGCTCACTTGCCAGAGGCTGCATCGCCCAGATAAAACCCTTTCCAGGCAGAGATGCTATAGACATTCTTTATCTCAGCATACTACCCTATAAGGCCTTCCTT